ATCTCAGCCGGTGAAGCTCCTCCGCCTCGCTCTGCGCCTCTTGTTTGTGGAGATTTCTGCAAGGCAGAGCTCACGTGAGGGGGAAAAAAAACCCCAAAAAAGCTCTTATCAGGCCCCTGTCCCCCATCGATCGAGTACTTTTTCAGTCTCAGGTTTCATTACAGAAACTTAAATAGGCAAAAACTTGTAAACTCGCGTCCTGCAGACGCCCTGTTCTCTAAACTTGAAGCGCCTTTACAGCGGGTCCTTTTAAAAGTAAAGTTTCTGAAGCGCGGCCAGCTCTTTTTAAGCTGTTTTCTAGTTCTGCTTGTCCTGAATTAACTTAGACTGGCGCATGCCTTCTGCTCTGCCCCGGCTGTGCTGGCCAGCCGCGCACAGGCTGCCTGTGTTGGGGGCAAGGTGAAAACTCCCTCCTGACCAGGCTGATGGCGTTTCCTGCATCCATGCTCAAGCAGGTTGGCTTTTGGTTTACATGAACCTACCCAAAAAGACGGTGCGCGGTGCTGCTAGCGATTGCGGAGCGTGTTTGGGGGGTTGGGGGGGCGTGGGGTGGGTGCTGCTGCTGGTTAGCCGCGATAAACAGGCGGTGGCTTGATGTACCCTGTGTGCTCCATCAGAGCCCCCCTCTCGTTTTGGAGCCATTATGCGTCAGGAGGTTTTCATGACAGCATCAAGATCTCGCACATCTGTTTCTGTGTTTCTAATGGTGTCATCACAGAAAATGTGTTTCGGTTTAAAACTGGGAATCTATAGGCCCCGGTTGTCTCAGTTCTCCTCCAGTAGTGCTTTCCAGTTCTTGCTCTTTCTAATGAGACTGCTGAGACGGCGTTAGCAGGATGTGGCCAAGAGGTACAATTCAATTTTTCTGCAGGGTCACTTTATCATGGTGCTTTCAGAAGCTCATTAAAAAAAGTATACGGGTAAAGAAAACTTACCAGGCTTCTCTCCTGATTCCAATGTGTTTCTAACATACAACTTTAAAGTGAGGAATGCTGTTGCCTAACCAAAATATTTATGAAAACTGTTCATGCACAGTGATTCCACGTGTTTTTAATACGGCTTTCATCATTTTCAAATGATTATATTTATTTTTGTCAAGTCACTACCTCCATCTTTAACAGTAGCAGTTTCTTCTTCAGCCGTAGTTGGCGAACTAACCCTCCCATGGTGATATCTTGCTGGAATCCTCTTACAATAGTCTCGAATTCAGTATCTAAACCCATTTCTGTATGTATGTCTGTCTGTCGGTTAAGTGGATGTTGGAGCTGCTCCCAAGACCAGACTCACCCATCCCTCCTGCAACCTCTTCAGCTGCATTTGCAGGCTGCTCTCACCTGAGCTCCTGATGCCTCCACTCATGCTGGAGGTCTTGTCCATGTGGTCCGGGTGGATGAAGATGAGGTGAGGCTCAGGGTATTACCATTCAAGGCACTGAGAAATAATCCCAAATCCTGGTTTTCCTAAGCATCCAGGGGAGACTTTGATCCTGGGCTGCTCACAGGAAGGCTGAGGGCAGCAATGTAAATGGGAAATGGTGGCTCTCAGCCATGCATATGCTTAACCCCACTCCAGAGCCAATTACTCATTCAGACACAGCCTGAGGCCTTGTCACCAACCCCTTTCATGCCCTAAATGGCCACTTTTAGCAGCCATTCCTAAAGTGATTCTGATCCTAAAAAATTCTTACTTATTTATGTTATTTTTATATCTTGGTAGCCTATCATCTCTCTAATGCACCCCTTTCTCTTTCGCCAAATAGCGCCTGTCTTTCAAAAGCCTGTTCTAGTGATAACAGAGATTTGCCATGACTCTGCTATCTCTGCCATATCTGATTTAATGCAGAATAGATAAACTTCCTCTTTTTTTTTTTCCTTTTGTGTGTGTGTGTTTCCCTGTGTTAATGGACAGCATTTCAGCTGATTTTCACTAAGCACGCTTCATACCCTTATTGGGTTAGGGCAGCCTTCAATCTCAGTTCCTGCACATTGGCTAATCCACTGCAAAGTATTGATTTGGAATTGGGATTTGGCTCCGCCGTAACAGGTAAATCACTGAATTACTATGTGCTGCTCTTACAATATCTGCTCTGCTTCATGTGTGCCTTTAGTGACATCCCGCTTAGAATTTTTCACCTTCCTTTAACCTTTCTCACAGTCATGCATTTATTCTCCTAAATAATAGCCACATTAAAAGCATTCGAGACTGGTAAGAGAGTTCCTGAGCCTTAGGGACACATATAAGACCCAGCTCCTTTCCACCATCCAGACATTACAGCTAGAATGTTTGTGATTTATTGAGACAGCCAGAAATTGATTTCCCAAATGTAAGTTAATTTTAAATTCATTGGGCATTCATGAAAATGGATGCCAGATATATAATATGTTGTCAAGAAGCAAGCAAATGTAATAAATCCCTAAAAGTAATGTAACCTCATATCTTCCTACGATGTGTAAAAACATTCTCTGGGGGGGAAAACACCACCTCTGACTCATTGTTAAAACCTTTCCAATATGACAAATAGTTTTAATGTATTTTTAAAATGGTCCCTGGCATTATATACACTGTGTGCACTCTCTGCATTCATAAAACTGAAAAAATATTTACTGAGTCCATTTGACGGATGGAAGCATGATAAGCTGTTATTTCGAACGAGGCATCTAAACTTCTACAAATGTCTGAAATTTTAAATTTCTGTCAAATATAAATAGAACTAGAAAATAGTAATAGGTTTCAATATTCCAGAACAACAAAGGGGTTAACCAAACCTTCTGAGTTTATCTGGAACCGGTTGCCCAGAGAGTTGATAGATGCCCTGTACCTGGAAACATTCCAGGTCTGGTTGCATGGGGCTCTGAGCAACCTGATCCAGTTGAAGATGTCCCTGCTCATTTGCAGGAGTTTGGACTGACATGGCCTTTAAAGGTCCCTTCCAACCCAAACCATTCTATGAGTCTATGAGCTGAAAAGAGAGTTGACGTGACGCTGCGTATCAGTAAAGACTGGATGCATGTGCATCTGTGTTTCCCCTAGGTTTGTGTTGCCTTGGGTCTGGTTTTGTGCCTTGAATGCTCAGAATGGGTGAAAAGGGAGAGACAAAGATAAAGCCTTACGTAAGTTAAAGAAATTAAAAATGAGCTTTAAACAAATATGGAGCCACCTTTCGCTCCTGCTGAGGTGAACGCTGTTACTTGTTTGCAGCACCCCAGTTAGGAGCGGTGCCCCTGCATGCCCACAGTGCTTGCAGGGTATGAGGTCACCCTGGCAGCTACTCTGCTCACATGTGAGGTCACATTTGTTATCACCCTGGTCTCAAACTGCCTGCATCCACCAGGAACTGTTCTGAGTTCAAGCCGCTTCTACATGAAATTTCTCCTCCTGGAGAGCCAGCTGGCTTTCTCGATGTGCAAGGCAATACTGGCGATCAGGAAATTTGTTCTTTCACTTTTACAACAGTACAGACTTGTCCTGTGTAGACATAAGCAGATGGGGCTGACAATATGGAGTTAATTGCACATCTGAGGCACAGAAAATAGATGGCATGAAGGAAGCAACAATAAATCACAAAGTTGTATAGATTAATATGAGCAGCTTGATGGTTTCCAGTTCAGCCCTGGATGATAAATAGAAACTTTTTTTTCTTTCTAAAACAATGGGAGCATTTTAAAACAGCACATAAAAAGGGGAATCTTGGAAAGCTCATCCGAAAGCTTG